GAACACAGACTGTGAAGCTAGAAAACCTTGGAATGAAGTGTTTCAAACTCTTAACAGAACTTGCAACCCAGATCAATAGGCATATCTTGCAAAAGTGTAAAACTGATGGAGAAATAAGCACATTTCATAAGAACAGCTTGAGAGGTACAAGAACAACAAACCAGCATTCAAAAGTAATCAAAAATATTAACAAAGGTAATTTTTTTTTAAAAAAAAGGAAAAACAAAAACTCAACAACAGAAAACGAATTCAGTGACAGGAATAAGTCAACACTTTTCAGTAATAATGTAAATGGCCTTAACTTGCATAGGATGTGGATTGGCAGACTTGATCAAAAAGTAGAATTTAATGGTCTGTTGCATTAAAGATACTCATTCAAAAAGAAATTGATAGACTACAACTTAAAGGATAATAAATAATGTTCCATGCACCAGGACCCTAAAAGCAAGAGAGGCAGCAATTTTATTCTCAGACAAACTAAACTTCAATCTAAAACTGGTCAAAAGGAGCAAAGAACATTTAGGGAACAAATTGACAGGAAGAAAAAAATCAAATACCAACATAATCATGGGATATTTAAAACCCTCTTTCATAGCAACAGATAACTAACCAAAAAATTATGAAAGAAATGTCATACCTGAACCACAACTTTGAGCAAAGGACTTAATAGATATCTACAATTTTCTACACATACCACAACAGAATACACATTCTCAGTAGTGCACAGAACTCTCTGCAAAGTGGAACAAATACTAATCCATAAATCTTGCTTACATAAATTCAAAAATATCAAAATAATTCCATGTGTACTATCTGATCATAGCACAATGAAACTAGAAATCAATTATAAAAGGAACCACATAAATTCCACTAATACCTGAACATTAAATAGCACACTCCTCAACACTTAGTGGGTTACAAGTCAAGGAGGAAATTAATCCCTAGAATCAAATGATACTATCAGTGCAGCGTACCACAGACTATGGGAGACAATGCAGTGCTACAAGGGAAAATTATTACTATGATGCTTGTATTATAAAAACAGCAAAATCAAATAAGCTACCTAATGATGTGCTGAAATGACAAAAACAACTGCCCAAACTCAAACGTATTATAAGAAGGGAAACCATAACGATCAGAGAAGAAATAATGAAACTGAAACTAAAAGTAATACAAAGGATCAATGAATTGAATATTCTTTGAAAAAGTAAACAAAATAGACAAATGCTTAGTCAAACTTACCAAAACAACAACAAAAGAAAGACCCACATCAATGCAATTAAAATTTAAAGAGACAAAGTCACAATATGTACTACTGGAATCCAGATCATTAACAACCACTGTGAAAAAAATGTTCTCCAGCAAATTAGGAATCTTGCCGAAATGGATAGATTTTTTGATGCATATGAGTTATCAAAACAACCAAGAAAACTAAAAGTACTAAACAATCCAATGACTAGGAAATTCAAGCAGTAATAAGAACCCTACCAACTAAGAACAGGACCTGATGCATTCACTGCTGAATTCTACAAGACACCCAGGAAGGATATAATATTAATACTCTCAGACTCTTTAATGAATTATAAGAGCTTCCAAATTCTTCGCTGGAAGGTAATATTACACTGACTCCAAAACTAGACCAAGACCCAAATAAAAATGCAAAGTACAGAACAATTTCTTTAATTAACATAGGTGCAAACATCCTCAACAAATAATGGCAAGTGCATGCAACAAATCAAGACAGTTCATACACCATGACTAGGTTTCATTCCAGGGATGCAAGGAAGGTCCAACATACACAAATTCATAAGTATAGTATACCACATAAACAGAAGCAAGGACAATCACATGATCATCTCAACAGAGGCAGCAGCCTTTGGCAAAGAACAACATCTGTATATGATAAAAACCCTAAGAAAATAGGTGTAGGAGGATTCTATCTCAATCTGATAAAAATCACAACAAAGCTATTGTCAACACCATATTCAATTGGGAAAAACTGAAAGCTTTCCCTTTAAAATAACAGAATAAGCATATCCATTACAACCACTCTTGTTCAATATATACGTAAAAACACAGCAATCAGGCAAGAGAAAGAAATGAAGGGGTACACACGGAGGGAAGAAATCAAATGTCCCTATTTAGAAATGATGTGATAGTTTACATGGCACATCCAAAAATTCCACCAAATGACTCCTAAAATTAATAAATTCAGTAATGTAGGAGGATATAAAACCAACACAAAAAATCAATAATGTTTTTGTACACCAATAATCCACCAAAAAAGAAATTAGGAAAATAATACTATTTACAGTAACAGCAAGAAAAATTAAATACCTAAGAATTAACATAACAAAAAATAAAAGACCTCTATAACAGAAACTACCACTCTCTAAAAAAGGAGATCATACAGGACATTAGAAAATAGACATACCTTGTATCTTGCTAGGAAGGACTAGTATTATCAAAATGGCCATATTCACAAAATTGATATATACATTTAATGCAATTCCAATAAAAATACCAATACTGTTCCCTGTAGAACTAGAGAGAATAATTCTAAAATTTATGTAGAAGGAGAAGCGACTGAAAATAGCAAAGGCAATCAAGGATAATAGGCAAAATATCAGGCATGATAATCCTGGATTTCAAGTTATACTAGAAAGTTACAGTGATAAAAGCACCATGGTACTGGTACAAAAAGAGATATAGGGACCAATTGAATAGGGGATGCAGAAACAACGATATACACATTCAGTCATTTGATCTTTGACAAAGGACCAAAAACATGCCCTGGAGGAAAGACATCCTCTTTAGTATTTTCTAAAAAATGCTGGAAAAGCTGGCTATTCATGTGCAAAAGATTGAAATAAGACCCATATCACTCACCACATACTAAATTAAACTAAAAAAGATCAACAATCTAAATATTAAAATAGAAATACTTAACCTGCTGGAAGATAAAACAGGTGAAACTGTTGAAGTTACAGGCAAAAGCAAGGACTTTCTGAACAGAACCACAATTGTACAAGAAATAACACCAAGAATCAACAAGTGGGATTTTGTCAAATGAGTTTTGCACAGCAATGGGAGCAGGCCATAGAGAGGTGACTTCCTGTCGTAGTTAGGGGTTTGCAAGGTGAACAATAATATAATACAGGACATATATTTTATAAGATTATAATAGTCACCAAAGAATCATATACAAAAAGAGAGTGCAGGAAATCTGTCCACACACTAAAGAGCAAACAATCCAGCCAAGGTCCTGGATCCCACAATAATGTTCTCCATGAGTCCAGCTGAAGATCTAGAACCCATAACAATGCCACCCGCGAATCCAACTGGAGGCCTAGAGCCTATGACAGTGTTTCACAGATCTGTGTTGAAAAGGCCCAATAGTCAGTGGTGGAAGCTAGAAAGTCTGTACCTGTGGGATGAAGGATCTGTGCTAGCAGGCTGAGGAATCTAAACTGGAGCCAGGAAGTGACACTCAAAGTAAGAACCAGAGCTCCCCTGAAAAGTACTACAGCCAGCCTCAGCAACAGTGATGTCTCAAGCTCCTCCAATGATAAGAAAAGCCAAGTTCCCATCAGGAAAGCCAACACAACAAGCTCCTCCAGGAGACTGAGCAGGACACCATATGCCTGACAACCTTTTGTCATCCCAGTTCCTCATTGCACAACCATTTTGTCTCTTTTTTTGCCATGCACCAAACTCCTGGGAGGAGATTAGGGCCCATTGCAGGGGTGCCTAATAGATTTCTGGGTTTTCATGTCTTTCTGCTTAAGCTTTTGGATTCTCATATGTATAATTTGACCTACAATTTCCTTACTTCCACAATGTGGAAAATTCTAATTTCTTCTGTGACCTTTCTCAACTTCTAAATCTTGCCTGCTCCAATACATTTATCAATAACCTAGTCATTTATTTTCCTGATACCATTTGCTTTTCTTCCTAGCTTAAAAATTAAAATTGGTTTTCCATCAGGAGAATTACATTTTTCAAGTGAGAAGTGCATAGTCTTCATAAGTGTGGGTCTCACTTGTCAGTTTTTTGCTTATTTTTTGGAACAAGCTTTGGAGTATACCATTTTGCAGTATGTCCTCTTCTCCCAGGATGGGTGAATGGCCTCAAGGACTTACACTTTAGTCATCACTATGCTAAATCCCTTCATCTACAGCCTAAGATCCAGGGAGGTTAAAACCACTATGAGGAAGCTCCACAGCATAACAGTCTAATCTCATGACTTGTGCCATCCATCTGGAATATACACTATAAAGGAAGCACGTTAAACATCTAGATGTGTGCTATGCCTCCTTGTTTACAATGTTTTTGTTGTTTATGGGTTTTAATTTTTCATAATGTTTTATGTATGGTATTTTAATGTGCTGAATAGGATTGGAGTAAGGAAGGCATGGGGAAAATTTAAGATACGGATAAATGTTCAGTTTGGGAAGGCAAATAATTTTGAGGGATGGATGGTTTCGTGGTTGCACAACCATATGAGCACATTCAGTGTCCCTGAAATGCGTAACTAAAAATGGTTAAGATGGTAATCTTTGGTATGCGTGTTTTAGGATCATAAACATTGGAAATGCAGCTGGATCTTATTTTAAAAAGAAATAAAGAAAATGACTATTACATATAAGTTTCCTCTTGCTAGATGAAGAGCCCAAAAGCCTTAAAGCAATATTTATTTTCTCTTCCTCTTTTGTTAATATAAAAAGTCCTTAGAGAGTTGAAGAACACGCACCAATTTGGTTAATTATGAGCTATGTGTCTGAAACCTCTAATTTCTTACAACAGTAGATGATCAGCTTGTGCCTCCAGACCTTCACCTTGGTGGTTCTAGCAGGCTGTAAGCTTTGTGCTTCCTCCTGTATGGTTTTCTGGATCAGGAGTTCTTACTGCACATTATATTCATACCAATCCTGAGGACCACTATGGAGCCTTAACAAGAAATTTGGCAAAGAAGAGGCCTTGGATCCTAGTTCTTAGTCATGACCCAGCAGAAATGCAACCTAACCCAGTAAGTGCTGACTGACATAATGGATAGAGGAAGAATTATCAGAAGCATTGTTCCCCATTATAGGACAATGATCAAATGTGCATTTTGTGTAGTCAGATAGGAGAATGCCAGTGCAAAATTTCAGCTAAGTGGACTGTAAAATTTTTTTTTAGGTTGCGGTGGGTGTTTTCAAAAAACCTGATTCAGCCTGTAGCTTTCCATCCACACAGATTCATCTTCCCAAAGACATCTCACACATAATAAGAGCAAAGGGGATCTTCCATACTGCCTCAAAAGTGTTATAAAAATCTTTTAAATATTCATGGGTGCCAGCTACAGGTAAAAGATGGGACAAGATGACAGTAACCATAGCAGAAAGAAACCTTATTAAATACTTCGTAAATGCAAGGCTCTCGGTTATGTGTTCTGTTTCACTTGTGTAATTTCTTCTGCTTTTTTTTTCTAGGCATACATGCCTTTACTACTATTATTTTACAGAAAGGGAAGAATCACAATTTAAAATAAAATCTTTAAGTGATATATATTTTATCTTGATACTCCCCTTCCTTTCCCCTCCCCAAGTCTCACCTCATCCACAGATTCCCTTTCCATCTTCACAAAATCTATCTCCATTTTTTATTGTATTTCTTTCATTTTGCCTTTAAATTATTTATACTTTGTGTTTCTCATACAAGAGAAACAATGTGATATAAGCTGTGTCTGATTTATTTCACTTAGCATTGTAGACTCAAGTTGCATTGATTTACCTACAAATGATTCAAATTTATTTTTCTTTTACTATGTGGCTAGGTAGAAGAGTAAAGCTATGTTTAAATTGAGTTGTCTGATTATAACAGAAGGAATTATCTTGACTTTTGTTGACAGCAGGACCAATTCATTTCACATCCTTGCTTACATAAATACCTTCTGTGGGGACTTCAGGATCCCTGGGGTTGATGCCTGCTACATACCCTGTAGGTAGGATATCTATATATCACAGGCAGTGATCACAAAAAAAGTAGGATTATGGTAATTTATGGAACAGAAATTTCACTTCTGCCTATTTTCCAGTATATCTTTGCTGCTGAACACACCCTCCTCCATTCTTGCAGTCCACCCACTTCATCTCTAAAAGTAAAAAAAAAAAATAGATCCTGATTTAATTCCTAGTCAGCATCTGGAAAGAGGTTAAAATTGTAAAAGATTGCTGGATTTCCACCAAAAACATTCTGAAGGTTAAAAAATAATAAACTTTAGTGATCCAGATGCAGAGACTGACCAATCTGTTTTTAATTCTGCTAGCTCCACTTATTATTTCTGGGACACAGGGCAGATCATTAATACCTCAGGGTCTCACCCGTGTCATTCAAGTTGGTTTTTAGTTGATACAAATGCACTGGGTTAGGGGACACAAATATGATGCTATGTGATTAATGGGTGAGGAGTGCTTCAAATAAGTGTAAAATGACATTTAGACGTTATTATCAATAATAATAAATTTAATCATTATACCATACAACTAAAATGTTCCATAACTTGGAGTTACTGTTGTACTATTTGTACTGAGATGTTTAATTTTTGTTGTTATGTAACTATGCTCTGTATTAGGTGAGGAATGACTTTTTAGTTTTGATCGTTTATATGTGCTTTTCACAGAGGAAACCTCATAAGTACCATATATAAGCACTGAATAGATCCTTCTTCCATTCAGAGAAAAATTCATAACTGTGGCTTTAACGTATTTTTCATGTTCGTGTACATTCTCCCAGCCCTTTCAGGAATTTCCCCCAAACGAGACAAAATAAAATGGCTCTCTTGTTTCTTTCTATGTCGTAGACACGTGAAGCTTGAAATTCTAATTAACAGCATCTACAGCACTGTGTTCTTTACAGACCATGACAGATATTTCTAAAAATAAAAATAAGCATGTATAGAAGGTAGTAGGTAACCCTTGCTGCGTGGTAACCACAGAGAGTCCCAAACTACTGGGTAACCCCGCCAAGCCTGCAGGAGAATTAGTGCTGGATGTGGGGCTGATCTTGGTCTCCAGATGTGGGCGTGGGGGTGGGGCCGGAGTCTTCGGCTTTGTACTTTGTGTATTTCTCCTGGTGGCCCACCCGCTCTACCCTGTTTGACTCTGCGTCTCTCTCCCAGTTGCTGTGCCACCCTCAGACAGAGACAGGGGGCTGCTCCCCATCCCGTGTATGGTTGTCTCCTCCTGCTCCTCGCACAGCCTCCTGTGCTCCTCTTCCACTGGCACGTCTCTGTCCTCTCAGGTCGCTTGTTGGAGTGCTGCGCTCTGGGCTGACTCTGCTCTTGTGCCGTCCAAGGCTGCTCAGTCCCGATTCTTAATCCTCTACTGAGGCTGGAGTGCTAACCTCCCACTTACTGCTGTGCTGTGCTGCAATTCTGCTTAAGTCCCGCATCCCTCAAACTACTGGTAGCAGGGCTGGAGGAGTCACGCTGTTCCATTCCGTGCTTTCACTAACACCTCCGCCACACGCTGTGGTTGCTAAGCTTGCTAACTCACTGCTTCCGCCCCTGCTGCTTGTTGTAGGGCGAGGTGGGGTGGGGTTCTGTGCGCTGTATTTCTGTTCTTGCCACTGCCGTGGGGACAGCTCAGAAAAATGCCTTGTAAAACAGGACTGATTTTTAAAATATCTCGCAGCCCAGTCAACTTAGGAAGGCCTTGTGTCAAAATGGAAATAAAAATATGTTGGAGATGTAGCTCAATGTGAACACACTGGGTTTATTCCCCAGTATTGCAAAAAGAAATTTTATAGTAGCCAAATGGGAGGTAACTATTACCTCTACTATGCATATGATAAAACAGGCAGGTGTTTTAACATATATCCTGTACCCTTCTGTATTTTCCCAGTTAAAGTCTACGGTGAGCAGACAAAGTAATGAACTGGAATCGCCTTTAGGCAGCTGAAGTAGAAGAATTATAATCCATGTATTGGGAAACATAGGCATGAAAATCTATCAACAAAAAATAGGTGGTTTGGAATGCAAAGCTTGGCTTTGGTTGTTTTTCCTAGGCTCAAGCCTTCAGGTGTAAGATTTGTGATCAGAAAAATAATGCTAATACAAAATACAGAATCAAAAATACAAGAAAAACAAACAAAAACAGGAAAAAAGCCAAGAATCTTTCTCACACACAAGAAATTTAACTGATATTTTATGTTGTTGTTACATATAGATCTCTATAAAGTGACAAATATAAAAAATGCTTCACAGGTTATTATTTGTTAATCATTTACAGGTGTTGTGTACACTAATCTCACATCTGTAGGCAATGATATGCTTGATTATGTGCATTTAACTAAATGATACCACAATTTGAAGTCCATCAAAGCCAGCTATAGGAGTTATATATTAAATTATTTACAAAAGAAAAACCATATTTGGTTGTTTAAGTACATCCTCAAAGGAGGGAGATCCGAAAATCAAACAGTGATGTATTTCTTAAAAGACAACAGGTAATAATGTTTTCTCATTATGAACTGTTTACATTAGTAGGTACTGCAGCTCTAGCATTTACAGTGTTTATAAATCTTTCAAGTTAAGCTAACTTATACCATTGCTTCAAATAAAACAAGCTTTTTTTCACAGGTTCTTAGTTTTCTCTAATGTACATGATTTTTATCATCAACAGGGAAGAATATTTCTTATTGTCTCTGTTATTGTAAATAAGTAGGATGTATTTCATTGTGACCATGGTCCTATTATGTCTGATATTTTGGGCTTCTTACATTGTTCATTTAGTATGGGTAAGGGAAGTGTGTGCAGAGGTGAATATTGGAGAAGCCAACAATAAATACTTCTACAGAAATTGAGTTCATCACAGTTCAGAATTGTTGCTCAAAGTTTTGAACCTCGAGTGTGACAGTATATTTGAGAATTCTGGCATTCAAAATATATACAGAAAAAATATATATACAGAATGCTGACTGCCTTGTTGGTTCTTTTATCAAACACATTTTCTTTTTCAAAAGGTGCCCAGACAATGTAGAAGCACAAAATCTAACATGTGTCTCAGAATTCCATCTCATGGGCTTCTCAGAAGACCCTGAACTGCAGCCCGTCCTCTTTGGACTGTTCCTGTCCATGTACCTGGTCACGGTGCTGGGGAACCTGCTCATCATCCTGGCCGTCATCTCTGACTCCCACCTCCACACCCCCATGTACTTCTTCCTCTCCAACCTGTCCCTGGCTGACATCTGTTTCACCTCTACCATGGTCCCAAAGATGATTCTGGACATCCATACTTATAGCAGAGTAATTTCCTTTGTGGCCTGCCTGGCACAGATGTCTCTGTATATCATTTTTGGGTGTATGGACGCTCTACTTCTGACTGCAATGGCCTATGATCGGTATGTGGCCATTTGTCGTCCCTTACATTATCAAGTCATTATGAACGCTCACCTCTGTGCCTTCTTAGTTTTGGTGTCTTTTTTGTTTGGCATTTTAGACTCACAGCTGCACAATTTTATTATTTTACAACTTCCATACTTTAAGGATGTAGAAATTGCTAATTTCTTCTGTGACCCTTCTCAACTTCTTAATCTTGTCTGTTCTAAGACTCTGATCCATAACATAATCATGTATTTTGCTGTTGCTATCTCTGGGTTTTTTCCTATCACAAGAATCTTTTTGTCTTACTTTAAAATTTTTTCTTCCATTCTGAGAGTCCCAACACCAGGTGGGAAGTATAAAGCCTTTTCCACCTGTGGATCTCACCTGACAGTTGTTTGTTTATTTTTTGGAACGGGCATTGGAGTGTACCTCTTTTCGGATATGTCCTCTTCTCCCAGAAAGGGTGCAATGGCCTCATTGATGTACACTCTAGTCACCCCAATGCTGAATCCCTTCATCTATAGCCTGAGGAACAGGGATATTAAGAATACTTTGAAGAGGCTCCACAGTAGAACAGTCTTAATTTCAATACATGTAGCATCCATCTGGAATACAGGTAATAGAAGATAGAAGACTAAACATCTAGACTTGTAGTACTGCTACCTTGGTCATAATATTTTTATTGTTTGTGTGCTTTAATTTCTCATATTGTTTACAAGTAAGTGGTGATAACAAGATTTGGGAAATGACTTTGGGAGCTTCTATTATATGGACACATTTTCAGTTTGATAAGATGAATAATTGCTTAGACGATGTTCATAGCTGTACAATACTATTCACGTAATTAATATAAAATTAAAAATGGTTAAAGGGATAATTTTGTCATGTCTATTTTATTGCAAAAATAATGGAAATGATTATTACAGTCTCTCAGTTGCCAGAGAGTGACGATTTAATCTTGAATCCTGTTAATTCCATTTATTATTTCTGTGACATAAGGAAGTTTGTTAGTATCTTTGAGACTCTGAATTGGTATGTCTTTGAATCTCTAGTTGATACAGCTGTATGAAGTATGGATTAACCATATAATTTTGGCTCCCTATATGATCACTAGGTGATGAATGCAGAAAACATAGGAAAGTAAGAGATATTATTGGTAAAATTAATTGTCATATTATTTGTTCTATTATCCTGTGGCCTTAAATTCTGGCTTCCCTTGTTCTCTAGTAAGACACTTCATTTTTGTCCTTATTCACTAAGTAAGCACTGAATATCTGGAGAGGAATAACTGAATCTTTAATTTGTTTCCCAAGAGACTATCCTTTACTTCCAGAGAAGAGGCATTAAAGATTAAAAATCTCTGTTGAATATTGTCAGATGTTTTTTTCTCACAGAAATAGAGCATGGTATATCACTTCCCTTTTTGTGAGTATGTCTGTATTATCCACCTTTCCAGGCACATGTCAAAATGTCAGCTATAAGATAAAAGAGTTCTTGCTTGTGTCTTGTATCATGAATACAAAGGCAATGTTACTTTGAGATAATTACGTACACCATTCAATTATTCAAAACTCTTGGAAGAAATTTTCCTAAATATGAAAAAGATGTGTCAGCTTTTATGGTTTAATTCATTTTGGTCTATAATGAGTTCAGACAGAGCTTGTGAATTTATTCATCAAAACCAGGCTACTTTCCTAATGAATAAATAAAATGATGGCATAATTATTAAGGTGCACATTTAAATGAGATATTACACTTCTCATAGACATAAGCATTGTTCACCCCATTCTAGGGAGGAACAGGAAAACAGAGTCAGCAAAGATACACATACACAGTCTACCTATCGAGGTGAAAGGTCAGAATCCGGCTAGTGATCTCCTCATTCTGCTATCAGAGCTCTGCTGCATCCAGTAGAGCCAAATAGATGTGTTAGATAAAGACAAAGACGTGCACTACTGCCACTCCAGTTCAATATATTTTCTGAAACATTAGCTAGAACAATTAGAAAAGATAAATAAAAGGGTATATGGATAGGAAAGGAAAAGTTATTATTTGCAGGTGATATAATCCTCTAGATAGAAGGAAAAATATTTTGTTAATTACTCCTCAGACAAGGAACAGAATCTAGAACATATAAAGATCTCAAATATATTATACCCCCCCAAATTTAAAGACTGAACTAAAAATAGGCATCAGAAGTAAATAGATGCTTCTCTAATGAAAAAGTACAAATGACTAGTAAACATGAAAAAGTGCTCAACATCGTTGGCTATTTGAGAAATGCAAATTAAAACAACACTGGGACTTCATCTGGCTGCAGAAAGACTGGCTATCATCAAGAAGTCAACCAGTAACAACTGCTGGAGAGGCTGCAGAGGAAAAGGAATCCATCAGTGTTGGTGGGAATGTAAAGTGGTACCTCCACTATGAAAATCACTGTGGAGATTCTTCAAAAAGCTAAAATTGAAACAAAAAACTCAACTATTGACTCAACTATTCTCCTTGTAAGTATCTTCCCAAAAGAGTTGAAGACGTCATACCACAGTGATATATGGATATCTATATTTATAGCGGCACAATTCACACTAAGTCTTGGAAATAGCCTAATGTCTATCAACAGATGAACGGGTAAAGCAAATGTATATCTACACACAATGGAGTACTAGTCTGCCGTAAAGCAGGATAAATTACATGATGTTGAAGAGACAGTCTTTATATTTGAATGAATATTCCTTATTGTTTTTGTGAATATTCTTCCTTATTATTTCTATGATATCCTTATTATTTCTTTCATTTTTTGGGGGGGTGGTTTCTGGTACCAGGAATTGAACTCACGACCTTGCGCTTGCCAGGCAGGCACTGTGCCACTGAGCTAAATCCCCAGCCCCCTATCCTTATTATTTCTATGAATATTACTCCGTATTTCTATGACACAGACTAATCAGAATGTCAAAGAGTTATGAAATTCTGTGAGCAAAACTGGCAAATAAAAATGCTTTGTGATTATGATGTTTCAACTCTGATTCTTGGTAACATGACCTTATAGAGTCTTACAGTCTTTCTAGCTTATAGAGTGTCTATAAGCATTCTAAGCCAAGAGAAACTGTGTTGTTACCTTAGAGTACAATAAGGCGCATTGCAGAATGTCTTCATTTCCTTTAATTACAACATTTTTGTCCATAAAGCAAGAGGACTATTTCTCATTTCAAATATTTTCTTCATATCAGATTATGTGAAGTATAATAGAAATATCAGTGAAAGTTTAAATACAAATTATTACAGTAAAAGACACATGTGCCGTGAGCGCCCCTCAGAACAACACTTCCTCTTGTTCTGAACGCACATCTCCCCACATTCTTGCCACTTTCTGAAGCAATTCTGGAATTTCTTTATCACTTTAGTGGTACTGTTGTGGCTGCCTTTATGTCCTGATTTGATGCAAAACATTTAACTTTCATCATCATTTTCGCTTTAAGGAACAGGCAGAATATGCACAGTGCCAGACTGGGTGAATAAGGTGGATGAGGACACACTATAATTTTGAGAAAAGTTATTTGTATCTAGTTAATATATGTTTGTAATGCATAATAATTACATTTTTGGGAAAATTGACATATATATGTGTCATATCTTGATCAGTTTTACCCCTCTTTCTTCCGTTTTTCCTACTCCTCCTTTACATATCCAAACAGGGAGGGAGGTCTACCTCCTGATTTGTTACCATCTGTCCTTTATTTTTGTTCTTTAGTTTTGTTTTTTTTTTTGTTTTTTTTCCAGTATCTGGAACCGAACTCACGACCTTGGACTTGCCAGGCAAGAGCTGTGCTGCTGAGCTAAATCCTCAGCCCCTATTTTTGTTCTTTAAATTATGTTTATGATCCTACCCTTCCATTGGGAGGCACTCAGTAACAGGAGTCACCTTTTTTTTTTTGTTTGTTTGTTTGTTTTTGTTTTTCTCCGGTACCAGGAACCGAACTCACGACCTTGCGCTTGCCAGGCAAGCGATTTTTGCCGCTGAGCTAAATCCCCAGCCCCTGAGTACCATATTTTTTATCACACCTCATAAAGACACAACAGAGGCATTCAGAGCTGCTTCAGAAAGTGACAAAAATAATGAGTAAGAGTGTTTGAAACAGGGAGGAGTATTTTAGGGGTATTATTGGCAGTGTGTCTTTAAATGTGATAAATTAAAAAATAAACATTCACCGTATATATGTATAGTTTGATCACATTTTGTATATTTCTGTTAAAATGATCATTTCATTTTTCATTTATTTCATTTTATTTGCAGTCCTGGGGATTGAACACAATGTCTCTGCACTGAACTGAATTTTCAGTGCTTTTTATCTTTAATTTGAGCCAGGGCCTTCCAAAGCCAGTGCGTTGCTCAGACCGTGCACAAACTTGCAGTCCTCAGCCTCTCAGAGTTCTGGGATTAGAGGCACACATCATGCCTAACACATATTTCAAAGAAAACTCTCTAGTGTCCTTGGTCTAATAATATTCTTCAATAGAGTATGTCTGTGTTAGTTCCCTATTACTGTGGACACATATCTGAGATAAGGAACTTATAATGAAAAAAGCTGTGCTCTGAATCACAATTTTAGAGGCCTCAATACATGTTCAATCGACAGTTTTAGTTGGGGTGTGAAGCAGCATATCCCAGTGGAAGTGTGTCATGAACAAAATTGTTTACCTCACTGTCTGAAAAAATAGAGAAGAGGAAGGGGTTGGAATCTCACTGACTTCTTTCTTTTCATGCTCCCTGTGGCATGAAGACCATCCACTCTGCCACATCTAAAGCTTGCCAACAGCAGCACTGTGGATATCAAGCCTTTAACATGGACCTTTGGGAGACATTAAATAACTAAACTGTCACAATTTCTAGCATAGGTGTGTTTAGAAACAGGTGAGTAACACAAAAGTCAGTGATGAAAAGTTTGAAGAGGGAAGTCTCTGCCAAAGCTGAGGACTTTTATAGAGGTAATACTGTCTTTAGGTACATATCTTGAAGATTTTCAAATGTTAAGACTAGTAAATTTCTTGAATTCAAAACAATGACAGTGATATGTACATTTATATGTAAAATGGCAGTACATATAAAACTTGCTTATTAATTCCCAAAACTCCTTATTTTTTTCAAAAAATGTCCAGATAATACAGAAGTACAGAAACTAACCCATATCACAGAATTTGACCAAGTAAGTTGCTAAGAGAATCCAGGCTCACAGACCATGCCTTTTAGGCTGTTCCTGTCCATGCACCTGGTCATGATACTTGGGAAATATAAAGTCAGAAAAATATCTTCAATACTGCAAAATTTATTCTCTTGGGATTGTTAGATGATCCATCCTCTTTGGACTGTTCTTGTCCATGTACCTGGTCACGGTGCTTGGGAACCTGCTCATCATCCTGTCAGGCTCTGACCCTCACCTGCACACCCCCATGTACTTCTTCCTCTCCAACCTGTCCTTAGCTGACATCTGTTTCATTTCCATTATAGTCACAAAGATGATTGTGGACATCCTGACAGTTGATTTGTTTTCTATGTGGGCTTCCTGACACAAATATCTCTTTTCTGTTCTGTTGTTTTTGTTTTTGTTTTTGAGTATGGATAGTATGCGTCTGACTTTGATGGCTAATGATTAGTCAGTGGACATCTGCCGCTTTCTGTATTACAGAGTCCCTATGAACCCTCAGCTCTGTGGCTTCTTAGTATTAGGGTCAATTTTGATTGTTATTTTGGTCTCCCAGCTGTACAATTTGATTGTATTATAATTTATTTACTTTAAGAATGTAGAAAGTGCTCACTTCTTCTGTGTCCTTCTTAAACCCTTAATTTTCTCTGTTGCTATACCTTTACCAGTAATAGGATGCTGTGTTTCTGGAATCATTTTCCCCCTGTATCTTATTCCTTTTCTCTTACAATAATACTCTTTACACCATTAAAATGTCCCTTCAACAGATAGGAGGGATCAAGTCTTCACCTGTTGGTCTCACCCTGAGTGGTCGGGCTACTTTCAGGAATTGCCACCGGAATATACCATGCGTCTGCCTTATCACATTCTAACCCTGTTATATGTAGCCTGAGAAACGACATTAAATGTCTCCTGCTTAATCAACCTGGTTGAGCAGGGTAATCTCAGGACAAGTGGCATCCACTTGTAATGTGAATCGAAAAGAAAGTGAAAAGCAACATCTTGATCTGGAAATTTTGCATCCTCAGTGACACTATTTTTATACTTTGATGTCTTCCACATACCATTATGTTTCATAATAGGCTGCTGGTCAATACCTCAGGAAAAGACAGGCTGGGGTGATTGATAAAATGGAAACAAATTTAGATTAGGGTTACAAAAGCTTTCTGGCATGGAGGGTGGCAATAGTTGTCCAATTATGTGAAGGTGGTCAATGCCACCAAACTGTGCACTTAAAAATGGCTAAAGTGCTAAACTTTTTCTTACGTAAATGTTAGCACAACAAAACATGCAAATAAAAATCATATGGGCCTTTAGAAAAGAAGCAAACACAGTACAGATGAGCTCCCTCCCAAGCAGCCCAAAGCCTTGGAGAAAATTCACTTTCTGTTTCTTCCTGTGTTAACCTTAGGGAGTCCTTAGAGATGGGGATGGTATGGGCCAGCATGATTAATTATGAGCTCTGTGCATTCTGTCTCCAAGGCCATGCGGTAGTAAATATTTACCTGTGTCTCCAGACCTTCAGTGTGACAGCTCGAGTCCGGTCGCTCCATGCTAGTGTCTGTTGCTCCCATGATTTTCTACACAGGAACCTTCTGTCTGCTACTGTATTCTTGGTTTTTTTTGTTGTTGTTGTTTTGTTTTTTTTTTTTCTCCGGTACCAGGAATCGAACTCACGACCTTGCGCTTGCCAGGCAGGCGCTGTGCCGCTGAGCTAAACCCCCAGCCCCTGCTACTGTATTCTTATCAACCCAGAGGAGTGAACTTGCGCCTTCACTGGACAGCGGGCAGAGGCAGTTCATCGTATCTGTAGCCTTTAATCATGACTGAGCAGACATACAGTGTAACCAAGTAAGTCCTGAGGGACACAGGCTTGGGGGAAGGACAAAAATAAGCTTTATTTTTCCATCATCAGAAGAAATAGGATGGATGGAGTAGCCAGAAAGGAGAATAACAGTATGAAAATTTGAAGTATGTGGACTGTGATCATTATGTTCTTGGTTGGCTTGGAAGTCTCAAAAATCTCACTTAAAGTTTGATTTCCATCTTTAGTGGTTCTACTTCCACAAACATCTAACTCACAAGAGAAGAAAACGGGTGCATCTAAACTTTCACGACCATGCCACCAAATATGTATGATGGTGAGGGCAGTGAAGAGAAGGACAGTGATCCTAACATCTACATTTATCAAGGTCTCCCTGGGTGCCTGGCTCTGAGCTACGTGTTCTATGTAGCTTGAGTGATTTCATCTGCATAGTCTTCCTCAAGCTAGAAGTGCCTCAAATATTATTATTTGCAGGAAGGAAGGATCACAGCACTTTTGTGTGACATGTCCTGGTGTCTAGGTAGAATAGAGTGAAGACTTGTTTGAACTGATCTTTCTGACTATAACACAGGTTGTTCGTGCTGGTAGAATCTTGGCAGTTTGGGCAATCGACAAAAGCCATTTCACTTCCTTTCACTCTGGGTAAAATTTCTTGCTCACTGTACACTTCCCTGCGGGGATTCTCTGTGAGTCACAGTGGGGAGCCATGCTGGGTGCCTACTGAGTGCTAGAGGTAGAAGAGCTGTGGCTCATAGGCAAGGACTGTAAAGTAGGAGGCACACAGCAAGTCAGCACTTTGCCCACTCCAGCGTACCCTTACAGCTGTGCATATCCTCCTCTTTGCCTATAATCTGTCCATTTGATGTCACACACAGAAATAGAGCCAGGTCCTGATTTCTTTCCGAGTCAGGAACCTGGAAAGTGTTTAGAAATGTACCTGAGTGCATTTGTGGTTCAGACCTCTGAACTTACTCTTAAAATTTTCTGAAAGTTGAACAGAGATCTTAAGTGATGCAAACACAGAGACAATTTAATTTGAATGCTTTTAACTCTGCTTATTTCTGTGACATAAGACAGGTTGTTAGCATCGCTGAGACTCATCATTGTCACCTGACTGCTTTGTGGTCACCTCAGCTTCCCTGAGTAAGGCTTGTACAGGGAAGGCATCTCTCTATGAGATGACTGTGTGAAGAATGCATGCAATGGGGAACAAAGCACGATTTTGGTATTATTCTTATCAATAATGTTAATATTGGTACCACTCAACTAAAATATCCTATAGTCTGAAGTTACTATTTCTGTGAAGGGACATGTCATTTTTGTCATTCTATAAGTATAGTTGCATATTTGGAGAAAAATTTCTAATTCTCTTCCATTTCAGATTCCCCAGACCTTACACATTGCTTGCCACTGATGAGGCGTGAAAGAAATGTCACTGACACGCACTGAATAGATCCTCTTCTGTTTACAGAAATTGGCCATAATGACTGCGTTTTCAATACACTTGGGGCTTTCCTGTCTATACTTCCAACTCTTTCAGGAATGCCCCATCTTGCTGGCAGCAAGATAAAATAGCTCTTGTTTCTCATATGCCATAGATACATGGAGCCTATAGTTTGAATTAACAGCATCGGTAATATTCAGCTTTTCAAAGCTTTTAATGCCGAAGGGGCTGGGGATTTAGCTCAGCGTCACAACGCCTGCCTGGTAAGCGCAGGGTCATGAGTTCGATTCCCAGCACAGGAGAAAAAACAACCCCCACCCCCCCAAAAAAATTAATGCTGCAGTTTTCATGAGTATGAAAAAGATGGTGATAGAAAAGGAGGCAGGCAATCCTTAACGTCTGGGTGAGACACAATGTAGACTCTCATTGGGAGCTACTGTGCCCTCTCACCATAAATTCAGTATTTTCAAGAAGAATTAGTTCTTTACTTTTAAAAATATAATGACAAAATATTTATTAGGTTCCTAACTTTCTATATATGTCATACATGTGAAAGACATGGGTCTTTTCACTCTTTCCATTAATGAGTGTGACCCAAGATGAGGTGAGATTTGCTTACATCCTGCATATGGTAGCAGGTGAAGGATACAGGACTAAAACATGCATTTCCTGACTCCCATCCCAGGGCACTGTGTCCTCTACTGGAAACAAGTGGAAATATAATTTCCTGTTAAGGATGAAATTTCTTGGTGAGTTATTATGAAAAACTATTCTCTAGAAGCACTTCAAGGATATTTGTTGGTATATCTCAAAAATAAGAGGATGTATGGATAATGGCAGTTTTTTTGAGACCATAAATCTAGGTGATTAACAGTATAACTACACATGCCTCAAGTGTTGGAAGTAAACCACATATGTTTCATGTGTGTATTCTGTAGAAATTCTCACTTCTGTGATGTAGATAAGGGTATGAAAATTTTCTTTTTTTTTTTTTTTGGTTTTTCTCCGGTGCCGGGAACTGAACTCACGATCTTGCGCTTGCCAAGCAGGCGCTTTTGCCGCTGAGCTAAATCCCCAGCCCCTGAAAATTTTCAAAGAATTGTTATACATATAAAAATTACACAATGTGCTCTTTTAGAGCTTCAATGAAAGGCTTTGAAGTGGTATGTATTTTACAGAGAGACATAAAATGATACGTAAATTTGAAGTAGTGCATTTCAGGAGGAAGACGTGTCGCCAACTATGTAGACTCAGAAATGTTTTGGGTTAGTTTTCAGAGATCTTTTTATAGATACATAAATCAAAACTGATACTGAAATATTGAGTGTAAATACATCCAAGTTCATGACAGTAGTAGTAGTTTGAAAGGCAGATTTGTAGGAGAGTGAAATTATGCATAGATACCAAGAAGTAAGATTTCAGAGTTAATGTTTAGAATATCTGTACAATATTATTTGTGAGACACATCATTAAATGTAATTAATGATGAAATTAATGATGTTTTATTTAATGATGAAACATCATTAAATGATTATGCATCATTAATTGCTTAATATATGTAGTGGATATTATTTTACTTAATAATAATTACTATTCAGGGAGCATTTTCAAAAATTCTAGAAAACATGCTAAGGTAGTTATCAATCCTACTGTAAAAATGGAGTCTTCTTCAATTAAAATTTTTTTTGGCCTATGGCAAAGGTATCAATACTTTTTAAAGATTCATAGGTGAATATACTGGAAAAAGGACTAATCTATACAATTAAAAATATTTCAAAAATAATTCACCCAAAATCTGTAAAATAGAAATTATAATCCCTATTTGACAGGTGAGGAAACTGCCAAGGTCTATTAATGTGCTTTCCTGTACTTTTTATTATTTGCATTTTTTCACATTTAAGTTACAGCATGATCTGACACACAAATGAACCGGGCTTGCTCTCAAGTTGCTGGAATAAGAAAACTGCCATTAATCAATTGGGAAGGTCTTCTGTGAAAATCTACTAGTGAAGTAGAAGAAGGTTGGGACTTAAAGCTGAGCTCTGCGGCTTTCCGTAATGCTAAAGCCCTTAGCTTTGAATGAGAAGCTTCATTACCAGACAAACAAAGAGCCAGTGTTATGAGACCAGCATAGAATCCAAAATAAAAAACAGGAAAGGAGAAATGTAGCTGACACTGTACATGGGTTGATGCAAACAAAGCTGCAGAAAATGTTTCTTAATACTTTATTATTTGTTAATCATTGACTGGTGCAATGTATAATATTCCCACATTTATGCACAGTGATGCATGGCTTATGTACACTTAGCTAAAGGATATTTATCCAATTTGATGTCCAACAAAGCCAAATATAGTAATTATATATTTAATGATTTACAAAAGAAAAACAATATTTGAGCAAGTATATCCTTCAAGGAAAGAATTGAGAAAATAAAATGAAGTCCTTGAAGATAAGTAACATATATAATGTTTTATAGTGATAAATATCAACTTTCATTTAATGTATAGCTATTTCAGTTCAAGTTTTCATTAAATTTATACATACTGTAAATTATTTGAGTTTATAGCATTGGTTTGAATGAAATGTATTTTGTTAAAATCTCTTCGTTTCTTTTAATGAAGATGATTTTTGCCTTCAACACAAAGGGATAGTTTCTGCTCTCTAGAATGTCTTAACTGTGAGCATGCACATGCTATATCTAGCGTTCTTGGTTTTCCTAACATGGCTATGTAAACTGTCTCTAAAGTAAGTATGAAGCCGGTGAGTAGTACAGAAGCCAATAAGGAAAGAACTGTAAGAAAATTGTTTGTGAAAAATCAGAATCGTTGTTCAAAATTCTGAAACTCAACCATGATACTTTATATGGGAATACTTGAATTCAAAATGTACACAGAGTGACTCACTGCTTTTTTATGTTCAAACATTTTTCTTTTCAAAAGGTGTTCAAACAATTCAGAAGCACAAAATCTAACACATATCTTGGAATTCTATCTATTGGGATTCTCAGAAGATCCTAACCTGCAACCTATTCTTCTTGTGCTTTTCCTGTCCATGTACCTGGTCACGGTGCTGGGGAACCTGCTCATCATCCTGGTTGTCGGCTCTGACTCCCACCTCCACACCCCCATGTACTTCTTCCTCTCCAACCTGTCCTTGGCTGACGTCTGTTTTGTCTCCACTATGGTCCCAAAGATGATTGTGGACATCCAAAGTCACAGCAGAGGCATCTCCTATGTGGGCTGCCTCACACAGATGTCTGCGTTTCTCACTTTTGCGTGTATGGATGACATGCTTCTGAGTGTGATGGCCTATGATAGGTTTGTGGCCATCTGCCACCCCCTGCATTACCAGGTCATCATGAACCCTCGCTTCTGTGTCTTCTTAGTGTTAGTGTCATTTTTGGCCAGTCTTTTGGACTCACTGCTGCACAACTTGATCATCTCACAACTGACATCCTTTAGCAGCGTGCAAATTGCCAACTTCTTCTGTGACCCTTCCCAGCTTCTTAATCTTGCTTGCTCTGGTTCTTTCATCAATAACATTACCATGTATTTTGTTCTCACTGTCTTTGGATTTCTTCCTATCTCGGGGATCTTTTTCTCTTACTATAAAATTACTTCCTCCATTCTGAGGGTTCCCTCCTCTGATGGGAAGTGTAAAGCCTTCTCCACCTGTGGGTCTCACCTGTCAGTAGTTTGTCTGTTTTATGGGACAGGCCTTGGAGTGTACATTGACTCAGCTGTATCACATTCTTCCAGAAACAGTGCAGTGGCCTCGGTGATGTACACTGTGGTCACCCCCATGGTGAATCCTTTCATCTACAGCCTGAGGAACAGGGACATTAAAGATGCCTTAAGGAGGCTCCACAGCAGAATGGTCTAATTGCAGGGCTTGTGATGGCCATTTGAAGTGCAGTTTAGAAAATCTAGCAAAGGTATTTTTCCATATAGGATATGAAGGTTTTGGGTAATTTCTCATGAAAGGATTATTAAAAGACTAATGATGTTTAGGACTATATATTATGACTAAGGAGATGTGTCAATAATGACTGATTTTTTGTGGGTCAAAAAGTAAGGGTTATTAACAGTAAAATTAAATATGTTTCAATTCTTAGGGGTCAAAGAACGATCCACCATACACATAGTACATGGAAACTTTCCCTTGTGTGAAGTGAGGCACAAAATTTTTGGTAGGATTGTTATTATAATAAACAGACAAATTAATATCCCACAGGTAATTTTTGGCATCAGATACTGCATTTAGTATCAATATCACACTTTATAAGGAGACATAAAACTACATGTCAAATAAACTAATACATTTCAGGGGCAGTATGTGTTGTCATATACACTGCTAAGCTGAGCTTTAGGTATTTTTAGGTAAGTTTTAATAAAAGTGTTTACAGAGGCATAAATAAAATCTGACATAGAAATACTTAGAGGAAAAATCTATGAATGAAATTCACAGCACAATTTGCCATTGGGGAACAGGTGTTTATCAGAATAGAATAATGAAGAGATAGCGAGAACTCATATTTCATAGATGATACCTACTTAAAATCAGTACTGTGTATTCAGTTTGATTTCAAAATTAAGAAATGCTTGTATTTTACTTTATCTTTTTATTTTTTAAAGCGAATAAAAGTAATAAAAAAATTGGAAACAATACAGAATTTCGCTAAACAAGATGATAGAAATTCAACAGTGGTTGTTATACTGCACATTGTTGTCTTCAAATTAGTTGTTCATCTTACCAGATATTAGCATGCTAAATTGGTCAAAAAATTTTTAAAACATAGAAGTATTGCTAGTTCCTTTCAAAAAATGAATAGAAATCAGCAGTACAACTATTTAGAATATGTAGTTGATGTTACTGGCATTTAAACATAATAATGGAACATTTTCTGAATGACACAAGGTATTCTAAGGCACCGGATCTCAACCTTAGTACAGAAATAAACCATCAAAACTTCACATGCAGGGCCTGGGGATTTAGCTCAGTGGCACAACACCTGCCTGGCAAGCGCAAGGTTTTGAGTTCGATTCCTGATACCGGAAAAAACAAACAAACAAACAAAAACTTCACATGCAGATACCCAAAATTGGTTTTGTGTGAAATAAGAGTGTCCAGACGTGAAAATATCCATAGGCAGCTGTACTGATAAATGGGACTGAGACACATATACCTACACAATTTAAGAAATTTAAAAAATACTTCTTACAAAACTCTGTTAGATAATTCTTATTCACATTTTACAAATGAGGAAATTGGCCAGCTTTGTGTACATTATTTCCTTTGCTTTTTTATTTTCCCAATTAAGTCATAATTTGAGCTTATAAAATAATGAGTCAAAATTTCTTCCATGTAGTTGCAGTAAGGGATTGGAATCTATGCAGTAGTAACATAAAAATCTATTCACTTGGAAAGCAAACAGGATCTTCTTACAGTTTTTAACCAACTTTTACTCCTATCCTTGGTGCTGTCTTCAAATGGAGAGCAAAGTTTTTTGATCTGAAAAATAATGAAACCATATTAGCAGGCAGCCTACAACAAAAAGTCAAGAAAAAAAGCCAAAGGGCTATCTCATTCTAAAATACTTCATTGGGGTAGTATGGGGTTGACTAAATTGCATGAAATTCTTAAAAAGTCAAGAAGAGTTTATTAACATTTTATTCTTCTTTAATCACTTACAGGTATATGTCCACTAATGCCACATTTGTGGTCAGTGGTACCATATAGTTGTGTGCTTTTAATAAAAATACAATTATGAAAATTTAAAGTGTACAAAAACCACACACAGTAGCCTATATTAAGTGATTTTTACAAGAGAAACAGAGGGTGAATGGGCACTTACATTCACAAGCAAGTGTAACAGTTAAGTTTGATTGTGCCAATATAATTGGTTTGGGAGCTACTCTGCAGTTCGGAGCACACTTCTTGGTGTGTTGGGGAGGGTCAAGGAGGCATGACCCTAGGTACTATATTGGTCCTATGCCTCCTTTGCTCTGGAAATATCCCTTCCTCTGCTTTCTATCTGCCACAGGCTAAGCAGCTTTCTTCGGCTATGCCCTTCTGCCATGTTGTTTCTGCCTTGGAGGCATCTGACCATCAACTGAATCCCTTTAAAATGTAAGCCAAGTTAAACCTCTTTTTCTTTAAACTGTGGATGTAAAGTATTGTGTCCAGCAATACAAAAGATGACTAATAAAGCGAGACAGTCAGAAAATGCAAGTATGATGAAAACTCCTGGGACATACTGTCAAAGAGCAATATTCTCTGATTATGAGCTGTGACTTTATTTTAATGCTCAAATAATTTCTTAGCTCTAATGTAGTACTCATAAATATTTTACTTAGGGGAATGTGTTCTACTTTCTTAGAATAAAATAAGATACATGCCACGGCTTCTTAATTTCCTTGAATGAAAATGAGTTTTTGTCAGGATGAAAAGGGTACTTTTTATTCTAAAATAGTGGGCTGTATTGTACTGTGAGCGTGGACTTTTTATGTGCGATGTTTGTGGTCTTCTAACATTGCTTACTTGGGAATCACTAAAGTAGGTATGTAGGGAAGGAGATGATATAATATATAGATGAGATAATCCAATAATGAAAAACCTCGAAGAAGATTAGTTCAGTCACAACTATGAAATAATTCTAAATGAAACCATGTAATATAAAACTTTAACATGTATATCAATGCTTAGGTGCAGTGGTGTGTTCACAAAGCTGAGATGGGGGATTAGGAGTTTCAAGGCAGCCTGGAACACTTAGCGAGACCCTGTCTCAGACAGAAACTATATTAACACGGAGCACATCTTTCAGCTAGTAAGCAATATTAAATGTGTATGGATACATCTGAATACTATGAGCTCTTAGTGACTTTACAAATGAACTAACACCTTCACTGCAAATGAAGAACCATGATTTTAAGTCACATTTCTTAAATTGAGGAAAATTATATATTGCAAGTATTCTAATTGGAAAGGGTATTCATGAAACTCCAAGTAGGGCAGAACAGCTCTGTATAAATCTTTGTATTCAAGATTCATCAAAGAAAACAGAAATATCTCTTGTGCAAAATACAGAGAACAAAATTACAGTACAGCAAATATTCCATGACTCCTAAGACAAGAAACTGTTATAATTTTATATTCATGCTAATATTTATATTTTTATTATTTGTACTCATGTGTGTTCATACCTTAAGCTGAATTAGACTTTCTGAAACAATGATCTAAATGGAGATGCTTTGTTTATAGATAAAATGAAAGATTAGAATTATTTACAAAGGCACCACGTGTAAGCTGTGTGAGGGCCTTATACTAGAGAGGAGCAGAAATAAAGGAGAGACCTGGATGCTGTACACCGGGCCTCAGGGATCAGCCATCCTGAAGTCATCTCTTCTATATGCTTGGTTTTTAAGAATATGCACCGGGGGGGTCACAATGAAGGAAAATAACTGGTCTAATAAGGAGCTTTGGATATTGCTCCCTGGAGACACAGAGAAGGTAGGAGTTGGCACAACACTCACTCAACAGCCCTGCCCGTCAGCGAGTAGCACCTGAGCCTCACCCAGAGAAGATCCTTCCGGACTAGCAGGCTGTTGACTCAGTCAGCCTTTCCACCCATCCTGAGAACAGGTCCTTGTCTTCAACATCCAGGTGAGATGCTGAGCATTATGCCAGTGAAGGCAGCCGGGTAACTGAGAGCCCTTTAGTTAATGTGTTGGGAAGAACGATAGAATTTCATCTTGGAGAGCAGTAAGGAGAGCACATGTGTAAGATGATGAGAACCAAGTCTCCCATGCCACTCCTGTCAACTGCCTGTCACCCTTCTGACAGATTCTCACATATGTATTTTTTTCATATACATTTGTACTGATAAACATGTGGCTCTCATTCTTCTAGTCTCACACAGGGTCCATTTCCTTCTGAGCAGAAATTGGCCCTTCCACGAACATGATGGCCATCATATTTACCTTAATTCTTGTGGTGCCATTGAGGAGCGTTCTGGGCGCCTTAACAACGGAACTTTATTTCCTTAGTTTTAGAAGTTGGAAGTACAAAGGTAAAGCTAACAGTAAGGATGATTTCTTCTGAGGTATTTTCAGTGGTTGCTGATGTCTGTCTTCTCCCCATGTTGTAATATGGTCTCGCCTCTGTGGGTGTCTGTGTCCTCATCTCCTGTTTGTTAAGGACCTCGGTTTACTAGAGTAGGGCTCACTTAAATGACCATAGTCTAACTAAGTCAATTTTTCCAAGAACCATTTCCAAACCCATTAGTGATGTCTTGAGGTGTAGTTGGTTAAGAATTCAAATACGAATTTTGGGGTGGACATAATTAAGTCCGCAACCACCAGTCCCTCTGTTAATCTTCCTGCTGTACTTTATACACCATTGAATAGAGGACTATTGTTCATTCTCTCTAGGAAGCTGTGAGCGCTCTGAGGAGAGAGGTGGAGATTCAGAAAGTCTTACCCAACAGTTTCCAAGTCTGCATGTTTTGCTTTATAAAACTAACATTTTAAACAGGAGCAATAACAATAGTGTGATTAACAACAGTAACATTCAGCTCCCCATCTCCTCTTTTCCAGAACTAAGAAACATTGGAATTTGGCATGTCTGTTTCAGGTCTTTTAAAATTAAATTGGAAAATAACACACACACAGAATCTATCACCTTGGTATTTCCTTCCATATTCTCCTTCCACTTCTAAGGACACCGCATCTTGGATGTGACGGTGTCTTCCATGCATGGCTCTATGAAGCTTATTTAGTCATAAAGAAAAGACAGTATCTATAACTTAGGGAAGGCAGAAATAGGTGGTGACAATGTCATGGAATAGCGTGGTAGTTAAGCCTTATGAGGGAAGACTGATAAAAGTAATTACCCCAGAATGCCAATTACAAATAGCATAGACAATTAGGTAGTGTTATATTAAATTTTACTTATTTATTTATGTATTTACTAATTAATGATTTTATTGTACTGGGGATTGAACTTAGGGCCTTTGCACTGAACTACATCCGAGGCTTTTTTAATTGTTTACTTTGAAGCAAGTTCCCAGTAAATCTCTAAGTTGCCCAGATGGACTCAAACTTGGCAATCTCTATGCCTCAGCCTCTCAAAGGGCTGGGACTACAGGTGTGCACCACCACACTCAGTTTATATGAAGTGACTAAAGTGCAAAGCACTGCAGATTTATTATTTACAAAAATATTACCAAGTAGAACAATAGTTATAGGAGAATAAGGTGTATCATGAAAATGTGGTAATTTCTAAGGGAACAAAAAAACCCAAGTTTGTGGAAGTATATGATGTGAGGGGCTTCACATATGCCTCTATTATTTCTTGCAATAAAAATATCTGAAGAAAGGATGGTGAAATATATGATTTTTTTAAACTTGTGACCATTGAGCATTCAAGCTGTTCATTATTGGCTGTATTTTCTCCTATCCGTTCATAATCCATAGAAAAATGCACATATTGTGAACATTCAAATACATTTAAACTTTTTCTCACAGTGTAGATTCTTTTCATATATTTTTTCCTAACTGGGCATGGTGGCACAAACCTGTCATGCCACCTTTCTGAGAATCTATGGCAGGAGGATTACAACTTCCAGCCCAATCTCAAAATAAAAAATACAAAAGGGCTGAGAATACAGCTTAGAGTAAAAGTCCTGGGTTAAGTCCTTAGTACTGAAAAACAATCATCTAGCATAAACCTGGTGTGGGATTATATGTATATAACCCAAACACTGGGACGGCTGAGGTAGTAGGATCACCTTGAGTTCAAGACCAGCCTGAGTGACACAGTGAGTTCAAGCCCACCCTGACCTGCATAGCAACACTCTGTTCAAAAAAATAAAAAATTAAACGTATGTATTAATAACTTTTGTGATTCATATATTTAATTTATTCAATTCACTTGCATTGTTACATAGGTCTTCATATGTCAAGACCAAAAGAATATTGATATCTCTGATGTTTCTTTTCTCCCTTCTTTGTCTAGCAAGATTCCCAAAGGCAGTTTTAGAAAACTTTCAATGAATTTGGCATTCGTTAATCTTGAGATGTCTTTCTTTCATTTCTTTTTCTATAGAAAATGATAGATCTTAAAATTCAACATAATTAACTCCATCATACACATTAAAAATATGGGAAATTTCACATGGATACAAAGCACCCAATGGAGCCTTAATAGCAAATTTTAGAATAAGAATTAGATGGGGCTGGGGATTTAGCTCAGCAGCAAAGCGCCTGCCTGGCAAGCGCAAGGTCGTGAGTTCGGTTCCCGGTACCAGAGAAAAACAAAACAAAAAAAAAAAAAAAAAAAAAAAAAAGAATTAGATATAGAGTATACTTTACAATTTTCAAAATTCATAATTTTACACTGTAATTTACACAGCTTCCCTTTATATTGTATATATGTTACCTTGCTCACTTTATTAGCACACTATAAATCTGTACAACTTCACAATACAGATATTAAAAAAACTACAACAACACCTGTGTGACTAAGAAAGCATTTTTGTATAAAACTAATTGCAGACAAATATTAAAACTCTTAGGGCTTATTCACTGCAGCAACTCAGACTAAATTTAAGAAATATAAAATTAAATATATCATCCAATGATGCTTCTGTCGTTCAATGATAACACATTTTCTAGGTTAGAGTGTATTAACTGCAAAAGCTACAAAAAGTGATACACATCTGTACAGAATATTAAAAGATATTCATAAAAGAGAAATTAAAAATGAAATACCAGATTTCAGATTTAACTAAAATATGTGGCATAATTTAGAAATAGAAATAACTTTATTAAAAATGAGTCATTATATACTAAAATTATTTTAGGTAATAAAACCAACCATTTCTATTAATCCAACTGCCCCAAACCATCACTTCCTTCTCATGGGTGAAAAATACCACATGTTATGCTCACAGAAGACACCACACATGCATTTGTGAACACACACACACACACACACACACACACACTCATGCATGCACAATAGGAGAGGGCTGTATTAGAATCCCGCTTGCCCAGCAATGTGCTGGTAGCTTTTTCTCTATTCACTTCTCATGACTGAAACATCTCCGTGAGGTCCCCCTAGAATGTATTGAGGCATTAGCGCAAGAATAAAAGTTGTCCATATGTAAGATATGCAAAATGGTGTTTGGAGACTTATACTTTATGAAATGTTTTTCACACCACAGCTAAAGGACACATCTATATGGCAGTTCCCATTAAACAAATGAGGGTACAGAGGCTTCTAAAGACTGTTCTTATTTATAAATTTATTTCTGAATCTTACCTTAACTTCAGAGTGTGTGACTCTATATGACATTAAATGATCATTATTGTCAGAGCTGTTTCTCTTTTCCCTGGAAGCAGAAAACCACTGGTCTCCAGGGATCCTCCTGTTAGGAAACCTGATGAAGTGTTCTATCTTGTGAATCTGTCTTCTGAAGAACAAGAGGTTGTCTTTGTTTCTGCCTGTTTCCTAGCGGCATCTGCATTTCATTTGTTCTCTCAGTAGGTACTTGGTGTTTGTTTACTACATTCAATGCCATGCTATGTATCTCATTAAGAGAAGAAGTTCCCTTAGGATGAGATAGAGAATTGCAACACTATTACCCAGGTTCTCTTAGAAATACAGCGATTGCTAAACCAGTTTACATCTCCGAGGGAGAGTCTCATGAGCCTCATATTTTTTTTTTTTTTTTTTTTGGTTTTTCTCCGGTACCGGG